AATAGTAGTTATGTATGTGATAGGTTTGAGGAAAAGCATCATAATGAAACGCACGTATGTTCTATTAAAAAAAATGATATTTGTCGATTTATGATCACTGGCCTGAAAGGAGCTTATATATATATATATATATATATATATATATTTTTTTTTTTTTTTTTTTTAATAGAACATACTTGCGTTTCATTATGATGCTTTTCCTTAAATCTATCACATACATAACTACTATTTTTCATTCCTGTTGGTGAGCTCAAATAGTCCTCGATACTTCAAAATAAATAGACAATGTAATAGTAATAATAATAACGAATGCCATCATTACTATATCTATTCCGCATTCAGTGGATAGGCTAAGTTTATATCTCAACAAACATCATACTTAAGTCATGGTTGATTGATCATCACAGGTTATTTCTAGAGTTTGGTGATAATATCATCATCAATACATAACGTGCAAGAGGTAGTTAATAGTCGATAACTTGTGATAAGTTTGTCCTGGAAGAGACTGTGATGCATCTTTTTTGTGCTAGTAAGGTACTATTGTGGCCTGTCACAGTCAATTTTCGATTTATCCATTGATGTCAAAATTGTTACCTTCCTCGATTTGGCTGTTATTTGCTACAACGGGCGTCTTCAAGAACACCTTGAAAAATAGCTGACAACTCTGTAGATTTACAAATTTCGATTTTGCTTATTTTTCCAGGTATTACACTGCGAGTGGTCGAATTGCGATATTATTCAACAAAAATTTGCGGTTCACTACGGATATCAACAACAGCATTTTTTTCGTATGCTTTCTCGTTTAAAGCGGTTAATTTGGATTCTTGTATTGCGATGTTTCTTCCTCAATATAAAGAATGATGACAAAGAAGTCTAGCCTTAGGTTCCAGTGATCGCAGGGTTTGGCCTTGTGCCACTTATCAACTTCTGACGTAACCCACATGTATCGTACACAAAATTATATTGCTTTTGACAATAATCGGTGGCACTGCTGCGGCAAGAAACTCGAAAACATACAAGACATGTAGTCGATAACAGGATCTAGTAAACAGATAGGAAAAGTGGAGAACAGAAAAGACCCATCTGATATAGTAAAAAGCAGTCACAGAAAATACGATTAGAATTCTGGCCTAAAAGCTCGTTTAGTCGTAGCTCTGTGTACATTTAAAAAAATCTTAAGAGGCGTCGTGTGCCTCCCTAAAATAAGACTGTTTAGGACGTTAGTATCTATAGGGGATGAAACGCCCAGAGCTCCATTAAAATCAAGGTGCGCTAACTTTCCCATAAGGCTCATCGAAGTTATAATGAAAAAGGTTAGCATTATTTAACTCGTCACTACATACCAATAGTTTGGTTTACCGTATATATATATATATATATATAATATATATATACATATGCAGAATAAACAGGGCCGTTGTTTTACAGTGTACGTTAAGGTACGGATAGCGCAGATCCAGCGAGCGAGAAGTTTACGTACGGTGTTATTTATTAAATTTTTATAGATCTTTTCAGATACATGTCCATATAGACGAGCTAAAGACAAAAACTGATATACAATAAACTGCAAGCTAATAAACGATATCCACATATGTCGGAATATTAACTGCACCAGATAGTGATGGTAAATCTACAATTTTACTCCAGGTATGTTAGTACCTACAGTACAACTCTAACCTGAGAACTTTAACTAAGAAAAACGGTATATTTTTTTTAGGAGAATGTAGATTACAGTCTTCTAACGGATAAAGCCGGAGCAGTTGTACTAGCAAAGTTTTTTTGAGTATACAAACCTTTATTTATTAGGCTGTAGCAAGCGAATCCATTGTACACTGACACTGTATACCTTTGGAGCTAGTTGGATTAAAGTGATGATTCATACCCTTGTCCCAGCGCTATGGCAACTTCTGAGGAGTTATCCACCTACCATTTGCGTCGCCATTCGTAATATCTCTATATAGCATTTTTAGAAGTTAATCGATATTGGGATATTCTTGACCACCAATGGCCCATTTTAGAGCACGAAAAAGCTCCGTAATGCAGAGGAAAAAGCGGGTTGAAGCCAACGTTAGATATTCCTTTAATTAATCCAGTGAATAATTATTGCACGGCGGTGAAGTCTGGTTCTACTATCAAGTAAGCAGCTTTAGATTGTCGTGTCAACGTTCTACGTACTACTCCGGCTTTATCCGTTGTACCGTGTGTAAATAACGCACTGCTAAACTGTGATCTGCACACTCTTATAAAGTATATCGCTTTTCTTGCATTTATAATCCTTGAGGGATTCAAGATAACAGGCTGCACTAAGTGTTCCATTTTCGGTGAGTGTCTTATAGTAGCCAACGCCTCTGGTATCCACTGTGAGTACTGGCATCATCTTACGTTCAAACCTATGCGTGCATTGCCCCCAAACTCGATTCTTCTGTTGCGCCATTCTCTCTCGCTTGGTCTTTCTCTCCGCTTAGCGGTAGAGGTTGAACCATCTTTCGTCAATGGCGACCGTATGTTCAAAACGAATTTTTTTGTTAATTAAAGTTCTAATTACTGCACACTACAGGCACCTTCAACTGACCTGAAGTTAATTCAGGAACCAATTATTTACATTGTTCCCGTTTTTTGAGTATTTAAATTTTGTGACATGTGAAATGCCAATTTTCACCGACAAAATGTTTATAATGTATGCTCTGATGTCATAGAAAGCTTTTTGTTTTCCTTCTGAATTGATCTATTTTGCAGAAAACTTAACCGGTTTTTACTCACCGTTTACCAGTGACCAGAGTATTTATCAGTGAAATTTCGTCTGCTGGTGGTTACCAAATATCAAGCCCGCCGGATTCAGTTGTCATAAGCTACTATTTATAACTGGTGCTATGATACGGTAAACGGAAAATAGCACCCAAGGGGACGAGATCGCTGCATGTGAAAATCAGGCGTGTATACTTATCAAGCACTATGGTGTCGTATTTGGTGAGCAAACAGAGAGACAAGGAATAACAGCAGCAGCAAGAATTTATTTAGGTCCCAATAAGCAACCGATTCCAGTACATTTTGCCTAAGTACACGAAGACTAACAACTAAAAAAATGCTCTGATTATTATGAATTTATAAGCAAATGACTAATTAGATTGATGTGTATGTACGTACTACGAAGCCTCGTATACTCGTTATTGTCGTAGGTACGGTTACATGTAGGAAATAACCAGTAGAAATATTTCCATCCTATTAAAACAGTGGCGTGTTATTTTAAGATCAAAACTTTTTGCTGAGATTGCAACATGGTGACAGACATTTTTATACAACATCGCTTTCTTAATAATGGCTTATACGCCTCACAGATACTCTATGTCCGAGTAAACACGCTTCGAAATATATGTGATCGAGTTACTATAGCTGTTTCGCAAAGCTTTGATGCCTTCAAACAGGATACTTGCTTTGATGCAAGTATCCTGTTTGAAAATTAATGTTTGAAAAATGAAACTGGCAGTTTGCCTTTTGCCAGACACAAAGCAACTCTTCAGTGTTTTTGTATCCTCCGAATAAACTCTTCAACGTTATTATCAACCCCAACTATGATTTGTGACGAATAGGAAAGCTTCACGAGACAAGTAACTGCTTTCTACCTGAAATGATTTCCTTCGTTTGTCTTGTATGCGTATTACTCAGCGAATTAATTTATCGAGGATGGTAGGAGGGAAATCCTTGTGCGGCATAATAGATCCATTACGATTTTCTCATCTGTTTCATTGACCACTAGAATACTCGTTTAGGGAAGTTGAAGTCAACTTCTAAGTAAAGCTAAGTAAAGCCCCTAATTCAAGTTCCAGTTAGGTGCTAATTAGTTGTGAAATAGACGCCGCAATATATTGTTTTTTGCTACGGCTAGCATCCTTTTAAGCTGAGCTAGAATAACTCTCCTTTAACTCGAAATACGACAACAGGCTCAATTTCCATATCGTTTTATTGGCTTATACATACATGATATGTCATTGTACGCATTACAGACGATACGACTATACATTTTACTCAAATGACGCTAGTTACATTAAGTGCAGCAGTTGCCAATTGCAGACGAGACATAAAGGCTCCGTACGATGGGAGTGTTGTGATGCTTTCGATTTGAGGTCCGGCCATATATACCCGTAGAAATCATACATAGTAGTATATTAGTGTTCGTTACTATATGTACGTTTCGACGCGGTGATATCGGCGACTGCCTTTAGCGACACGTACGTGTTGGAGACATCTTACCCAATCCGCTGGGTCGATATGTGTACATGAAATGTGTTAAAATATATATGCAATACCAAAATCGGAGAAGTAAAAGAAACGATACTCACCTTCAAAACAAACTGCTTCTCAAGAGCAGAAGGACGGTATTAAAGGGCGGCTTGTTCGCCAGTAAGAGCAAATGACGTCCTAGGCTTTTCGACTCAACTCGTAGCTCATGCGTCGCAATCTCAACGCGACAGCCGTCCTCATTGACTGCATAATTCACTGTCCGTAAGCTGTTTACGCTCGATAGAGCTAGAAGCGGTAGCAAGCTTCTTTATAGAAGGCTGCATTAATTCCCTCGAATTAATTGTAAGCTTATTTTATTGCCCTTCTTTGAGCCGCTTGGACATTAAGCGTGAGGTCACTGGCGTGCAGTGTATGCAAATACATGTACGTGCTTTGCGGGAGTATATACGTTAGAAGATTGGTGAAATTAGTAAAGTCCTGTTAGGTGTATTTTTTTTCATACTCTAGGGGTACTGTTTGCCGGGAAATCGTAAGAGGACTCGATCTGAGTCCTCTTACGATTTCGCGGTACTGCAGGATAATGATCACACCATGGTGCCGTATGATATTTGCTTGTGTTAGGTGCGACACAACTAAATCTCTGCATGATTGAGACTTACCACAATTACAAATTACTGTAGTTCTGAGTGCCTAAAACTTATCGGCAATCCGGTAACTTTGATACGACTGCGACAATGGTCATTAAAATAGATGTTAACGTGCAACTTCCTGGAATCGCTAACAGGCGTAGTTCGTCTAGTAAAAATGTCTTGCAGTAAAGTGGAATCCAAAATAAAAGTTTGAAACGATCTAATGCATTTTTTTTAATATAGAATACGGCTGTCTTTTATTTAAATTCTATATATTAGTTTTAAATATACCCATCTAAAATTTCCATTGTTCAAAGCTTATGCACTGTTAGCGTTCAAAAACACTAATAACAATAATATGCTAATTAGTAAAGTCCGTCAGGGTGTTCTCAGTATTACCTCTGTTGACAACTGGGCACTCACCCTTCATTTTCAACACTAACTGAATAATTTAGCTCTGACATGTTGCAGTTCGAACAGCTTGACATTTGGATTTTTTCAGCACTACAAGCCTTTCCAATACCTTTACTTCGAAGTAATTAAAACTGCCTGTGGAAAATTTCGTACACTTTGACCGTGCTCTGTATCGTACAAAGAACGAGGCACATACTCACGCATTTGTATCGTAGTTGCCTTTTTTAACTTTTGACCGTAGTGCTTTTATTTGCCTAAGCGTCCTCCCAATGTGTATCGGGCCATTTTTCATAAATGGCACTAGGCGTGCATATCTTATTGATATCGCAATTTTTGACACGATACTTCGAGTAAAATTCGCGCAGATCACAAAGGAAGTCGTTCGCATGATACGCACATCGTGGAAGCTTGACAGGTTTTTCATTCAACAGGCTAAGCACCTTGTACGTCTCTGAAAAAATAAGAGACCGTAATCATAATTATAGCATTTTCTAAGCAGGTATAAATAAGTCAAGCTTTCGATAACGCCCTTAGCTGAATTATACTAAATATTCGAAAGGTTGCAATATCGAAGCCATTTAAGAAACAGTGAAAATAAAGAAGCTACTTTATGTTTCTTAAATAATTTGCGTGAAACCGTCTGTTTTCCTTGGTCATAAATTGTTATATAGCAAAAAAAAATCGTCAACGTCTCTCTTTCTTAGCGATACAGGTATTCTGCGCTGTTTACGTTATGCGTTAGTTCCCTGCGCTATATCAATAAAAATCATTATAAAATTACCTCCGCATTGAAAAAGAATGAAGACCAACTGAGCGCTGTACGGCGAGAACGTAGAATCACGCCAAATCCTGTTTCTGACCTCTTTCGTACAGTACCCATCTGAAAAAAGCATGCACACTATAGTTTCTATTGAGTGAAAAGCCCATGTTATGGTACGTTGGCTTAAAATGGTCGTTACTTTAGCAGTGGCATCTCGAAAAACTGTCCGTCATGTTTACAAGTATGTTACAAGTTGTCCGTATCGGAATGCCATAGTTTATAAATCACACGAAGCGTTAGAGCTTCATCGAAAAAATACATTTGTCTTATATGTTGTGACTGATAGAGGTGTATTGTTAGGGCAGGGACGAGAATAATTTCGAAATGAACATTCCCTTTAGAGAGAGAATAGGTGTAAGTCGACGAAGTTAATGTTTTAGAATATAGTGCGCAGCGATGCTTATCGAAATATCGTCTTACCTGCCGTTAATCGATCATCACCGATGAAGAGATCAAACGAGCCAAGTAGCTTCTTGAAATCGCGCGAATGTGTGAAGTATAGCACCGACTTGTAATGGTGTTCTTTCGGTTTATTCGCAGCATCGCTGACAAATAACGTATTTGTAAAATGAGTATTTGAGAATCATCTATGCAATTCAAGATTAAATCAGATGCTTTTCTTACGAACATTTATCACATTATCATTCTGGATCTGTTTACTTGAGAAGGCTACGGGCTAGACTCAAAAGGGGAAGCTTTAAATTGAGGCGTTTATTATTTGTCAAGATTCTACGAAACGTACTGTTTGTGCTTATTAGATCACGTAACAGTGAATAATCGTAGCTACGGGAAAAAAAACCGTAAGCGTAGTAATTAACCATAGTAAGAGTCACCAGTAGTCATATGATCCTAATTTGGTATCATTTTCTTCATCAATATTTTTGAATATTTCTTTGCACTAGGACTATTGGTTGATTTAAGCGGAGTTTGCTAAATCCAGTCTGTAGAGCTTCTACAATAGCAGCACGTAAGCAAGCACACAGAGGCTGGTTTGTACGAAGCGTTTCAAGCCTACCTAGGTTTTCATATCGTCTTTGCCAAGTCTTATTATTATGTTAACAAATAATATGATTAGAAACCTAAAAAATTAATTTGGGCTTTCTGCGCGAAACGTTCTCATGCTTATTCTCACCCGAATCGGTTTCTGAGATGTTAATGTTGCACATTTCCTTGATACATTTTTCGGATTATCTAGAGTATCAGAAAAACTTAAATGATTCGAACTATAAAAACAAGGTTCGTTGGGGCACGGAAATCTTCCATATGTTTTGGGCACATTGTGTTTACTTGGGACAACGATAATTAGGTTAAGCTATATCTAAGTAGTAGACACACGATTAACTATTCTAATTAGTCAAAACAAATGGTTGTATGTACTTACTTGAAAAGCTGAGTGACCTCATTGACAACAGGACATCCCATTTTAGGATTAAGAGGTCTGCCATAGCCATCCTTGTAAAAGTCATAAATGTCATCATCATATTCAGAGACCAATAAGTCATCGTTGGAGAATACCGCACACCACGGCGATTTTCCATACGCCGCATAAGACAACGCACATTCGATGGCAATCAGATTAGCTTCATCTAATGACACAGTGAAGACAAATATTCAGGTGTCTTACAATTATCTTACTATATGCGCAGAATATAATATTCTAAATTAGGCCATGACTCAACTACATACTAGAGTATCATGTGGACTTCGTGTAGTAATAATAAACACACATAAAATTTTATGTATATATATATATATATATATATATACGTTTAATATTGAACGTAATTCGAATAATATTAGGGTGTCCGGAGCTATTCAGTGGGGCAGAAACTAGAATCATTCAATTCTGCACCACTAGCAGACAACAAGCGGAATGTTTACATAAAGTTTTCAATTATCTACGACCATACGCCAACTGGGTGTCATCAAGTAACAATGAGTCCCGGGGTAATGCTATGACCTAGTGGCGAAAATTAACGTTTAGTGAAACAAGTTTTTTAAAGATGAGAAAGTAGAATTCACTGAAGAACGATGAAAACACTGGGCAAGGAGGCCTTCAGCGAAATTAATCAGTTAATTTTTAACTGACACAATCAGTGTAATGGTGCAATCTTATTGAAAGTGGGAATTGCGCGGTTGAAAACTAGACACGAGGTGATCATATTTCAGAATCTCAAGCGGAAGAACAAGCAGCTGCGATCACGGAAGGTTTTGGGTAAAACAGCATGGAGAATACGATCCCTTAACTGCGGCTTACTGTGGAATTCCTGAAAACGCGCTTTGTATACTGCTAACAAGAACATTAAAGATGAGGAGGAGAGCCAAAAGATGGGTTTCTCACAAGGTAAGTTCCAGACAGATCGAAACGCTATCTTGTACTCTAGAGACATTTTGCAAAACGATTACCAGTAAAAGTCTGCTTGAATGACGAGGCGCGAAGCAGTCTGTTCCGACTACCAGACCAAAGTTAATATATAAGATCGGCGCTGAACAGAAGAAAAAATTATTTCCACAACAGTACGAAACAGATCCGGGCGTAGACTGATGCTAACACGCGCAATGGAAATCAGGATTAATTGTCATCACAAGATATTATCGGAAAACAAGTATGCTGACAGGCATCTCAAATTAAAAAGTTCCACAGAGGTGTAGCAACAGCACATGATACAACTGCGTCATGTTACACTCCAATTACGGCCTCGATCAAGGTAAGGGGGTCTAAGCACGGCTTTAGCTTCCAAATTTTGAGATCTAAGTTCATGTAATTTCGATTACTTCCAGTTGTCCGCGCCCTAAAGATGGCTACAGGTGGCGCAACGATTCTTACCAGTCTTTTGTCAAGCAAGCCATCGATAACAAGGCCAGTTATGGTAATGCCTATCACAAATACACAACTTATAAGCAGTTTCCCGAGTGCCGACCTTACTGGATAAACAATAGAGGGGAGCAGGCCTAGCATAAACCAAAACATCATTGTCTTGTGAGAGAGTTGGAAAACTTGTAAAGCTTCCCTAAATAGCCCCAGACAACTTAATAATATTATTTTCGCGAAAACTAAATTGAACTCCTGGTTTTGTAACATGAACTCTGTACTTGCAATGAGAAAATTATACCTGAGCAGTTCTATAATAAACGAAAAATGGATTGGTAAAGATATAACATTCTCCAGCAAGCTAATGTTCATGGAGTATTTGGTTGCTCTATCTTAGCTGTTATAAAAGTAATACCGGTTTATGTTTAATTTGTCGATGGCTGGTGATCAAGGATTGCTTATATATAGCTGGAAAGCTTTGTTTTTTACTTGCAGTAATACTGTCATAGTTTTATCTAGATCACAAAATTTCAACCGTTTTAAACTGAGGTTCCTTTTGGTGAATATTCTAAAGCTTAGATATGTAGGTCAATATAATAGTTATCCTCTGTTAAAAAGTGGCTTAAAACAATGTTCGTTGCACTCGAAAATTGCCATTTTTGAACTGGGCAAATGTATTTTTTTGCCTAACATTCTACTCCGAATTTCTTCGGCAGATTCCTAAGTGCAAGACAAATAAGCGTCGTTAAAAGTGTCCGTCTTTTGACGCTGAAGATATCAATGATTCGAGTCAGAAACTGAGATAAAATTTTACGATAAATAAAATAGTGGCAAGGACATTATGTAGTAAAGAACGAAAAAAACGTTTAATAAAGACATCATTACTTCCATAACAATATCAACTTAATTACAGCCCTTCTTTGTGAAGCTACAGCTATTACTTGTCCTGAATAATACTATTAGGTCTGATTCATTAAGTGGGTATTCCGCAGTTCAGATACTTACGATAGCTGAGTTCTTTATCTTCAATGCCGAGAGTAGTTTGTAGATTTCTGAGAAATCTCTGAACTATAAGCGACCTCCGGAACTTTTCCGGTTCTTCAAACAGCTCTCGTTTTGGTTTAGTGTGATTGGGCCACAGTTTTCTTTCGCAATTTTTATGAAATGAAACCAGCTGAAGTTAACGGAAATGACCACATTAATAAGTAACTACGCCTAAACCTTCAAAGGGGGTGTCTCGAACAGTAGCGCATCTATACATTATGTAGCCTCCTGCTTATATTTTGATAGAAACTATTTTCAGCTTCATATAGCACAGTAGTGTCGTACTTCTTTCTAAAACGAATTAATACATTCTCTTCAGTATTTGACTAATGAAAGCGTAAGTACCTCTATATCACCTGGTGGGTACTCAATTTTGGAAAGCTCCTCTTTATCGAATATGACTTGAAGGAATGCCTGAAGCGTCTGGTTCGTGCGCTCGCGATCCGAATAACCAAGTTTATAGTCCTGGTCGGAATAAACCGGTGGGAAGAGGCTGGGGAACATCTTCTTGAAACGTTCGGCGATCATGCTAGTGTCAGTACTTCCTACAACAAGTTATGCCTCATTTAAATTCCCCGTTTCGGATTAGCAGTTATAGACCTAGTTTATATTTTTCAAACAACAGTGGCGTCGGCCTCAAATAACCATGGAATCTGATTACCTGTGCGGGTATCTATTGGTGATAAGGTAATGGATCTTAAAATCCAACCTCTCAGTGAACTTAAAATGGTCCAACTTAATTGCAGATTATATAGTTTAAATGTAAACTGCTCTACATAGTGGAACAATAGAATGATTTCACTGTATAAATCAAAAAATGTCATTGCTCACGCAAGAAAAACGTGCGCACAGTTAGCTCACCTTGTCTCGTCTCTTGTGCTGCATCATTGAACTTATATCTTTGCTCCCAATGACGAAGTTCTTCAATATCCTTTTTGCACAACTTCGTCTTGCCTGTAAACGCATACGCAACGAATAATTGAAGTTAATTAGGTTCATGTTTTGGATAGGATTTTAAGGTTTTTTAGAGATCGTCTGCTAGTTTGCCAGCTTCGGTGAGGTAGCCCTTATTTCTGACCTTGATCTGCAGCTTCTAGAGTCCAGTTTCGAACTCGATGAAGAATTTCGCTCATGTTTACGAGGTCAACGAAATCAGGAAATCGGACGCTGTGTCGAGCATACATGTATAACATGACTGGCTGACAACCTGGCACAAAGTAAATAGAACACACACTTGCTTTACCGCAATTTCGCATCTAGTTCCCTGAGTATTTAATGTTTGCTTGTGTATTTACAAACATTTCATGAAAAACCTAGATTAGCATCAAAGATAGTCCAACCTGCTATTGCATACTTCGAATGCTTAACACGTACGGAAATTCGTAAATGACATCTTTTTTCGAACTCGTGCAATTTAAATTCAAAGAAAACTTTTCTAAACACCTGGAATAGTGTACTCGCTGGCGTTCGTATCGTTGAGCCCAGTTAAGTATGCATAATCTGTTTTGGTAGCGTACCAACGGTGCTGATCACTTGGATGCTCCGTGTAGCACATCATAGAACCATTGCGTTTAGGATAGCATGACGCTTCCTCTTTTGTGACAAAAAGAGCTATCGGAACTGCGACGGGGATGGCTACGATAACCAATGCAGCCAGCATCACTAAAATGCGCTTCATTATTGGTAGGCCCTTTTGAACGCCGTTGATCTGAACGTGTAGTCCTCAACACATCTATATCTGCTATTGAAAACTGCCCTCACTGTAACAGAGATTTAAAAGTTACGACTGATGAGGCAGCACATTACGACATTGGATCTCTTAACAAACAGATGTCAGGTTCCTTTATGTGCAGATTACTTAGACATTGACTCATTGAAGTTATCATAAGATCATCAAAATTAGCTCATTGGAAAAACCGATCTGCCATACCACAGCGAATGTTGCCTCCTGCATATGGCGTCCACTGCGAAGTTCGACGGCAGAGTGTCCAATGGTAAATCTGCCCTCAGATTCAGGCGGGGCATAATATCATGATTGTGTGCTGGGATAAGGAGGAAGAGCTTTTTAAAGCGTCAAGAGCCATTAGCGCTGCCATTTTATGACTCTCTAGCAAATTCTGCTTAAAGTGTACCCGTTCTCAAAATAGGTAGGCAAGGTCACGACCCTTGTACTTGACTTTTCTATAATTCTGTAGCATAACTATACGTATGATTATTTCCAGCCATTCGTAACGGCTTTTTGAGAGTCAGAGAGAGCTGTAGGGATCGACCATTACTTATCCCACAATATTTGAAGCTCATTCACTAATAATAGAAAGATGCTCCCTTCGCTATAGGTGTTAATTTTCATAGAGGCGTAGATGAAAATTAATTGTATTTTTCTAATAGTCAATTGCGAGAGTTTACTTGCACATAAATATGTTTAATTAAAATGTTATTAAACTAAATTGAAATTTAAAAAAATTAATGTCCATTCAATCAGTACCTCAGAGAATGGCAATATAACGAGTTAAAATAGCTTCAAAAGATGCATAGGACTCCGAATATTTAGGGTAACAACAGTATTTTGTTAGAAATTCGCTGCCAAACCATCATTTCTATGAGTGCTTGCACCGTTAGGTAAATCAGCACATTTGATTAGTACGCTTTTAGCTACCGCGGCACAAAAGATGGAGCGGATGTAGTATACTGAATGCTAAACGGTAGCTATTCTCAAGTTTAAAGATCAATGTAAATCTTTTCAGAACTAAAATTTACTAATATATAAGTTATATATTTTAAAAAAGAGGCAAAAAAACATTCGAGAATTGATGTTAAAAACTCGTGTTCTCACATAGACTTATCGTCGATGAGCTTTGCAGAAGCACAAAACGTGCTCTTATTTTTGTTTAATCAGCTGAACGTTGTGCTCAAAAACAGTAAATATTTCAATTATTTTATTATTAAATATATCAAAAACAGTAACACTATTTCTAATTAAGTAATTACATAACATTGCAAGTTCTTACAGAAAGGAAAGAGTCCATGGCTTAAAAAGCGGAGAACTCGTTTCAGATTCTATCCATTTAGAATCGAGTTCGTTTAACTATAAGCGGTTAGGCCTATGTAGGAATCGTGTATCATGGAAATGCTAGGTTTTATCGGTAACACCTCGATCGTTAAAGAGTGTCTTCTGCCCCTTGTTGATAAGTCAAGTCTCAAACACACCTATGTTCATCAACGGATGGGCATTCTATGAACATGAAAAAAAAACATTAAGCAATATACTATTTTGTTTAGGATGTTGCCAAATGCACGCTGTGCAAACTCAATCAAACGCTGCTACCGGTTATGGTTACGGTGGAGATCGCTCTGGTTAAAAACGTTGCCGAATGATCATATCAGGCCATACGTAAAATTTCATCGTGTGAGAGGCTACTGGTACGACATTATTTCGCCAAATCTTTTCTTCCCTGAAAATTTGGATTAACAACAGTAGATTTCAGTTGGAGGAGGAGACAGGATTCCCATGCATCACCATCTCGCTTTTAGACTCGTAAATACAAGTTTGTCATACAGTAGTCAGTCTCCGAGAAAAGCTTCTGCAACGAAGTGGATCTGCGGGTCGACGAATAGAACTTTCGGAGTCAAAAGTGAGGGAATGAAGTAGTTTTCGAATATCCCCTCTAAGCGCGGCACGGAGGGCCGTAGGGGTGGCAGTAATGCAGAAACACTAGCTTGATGTGACGCTGTTACGTATGATCAACGAAACGAATGTAGTACAAAGTATATGCGCAATTTCGAATAAGCAAGCCATCCGAAAAAGCATAAAGACTCCCACGAGTTGCCTATGTATATTGTTAATCACGCTAGTTGCTTCCTGAGACACCCATTAAGTACTAACATTACAGCAGTCCTTACAGGCAAGTTATATTACACTTTGAGCGTCGATCCCAGAGACAGATATGGCTCGGGACTCGCCTAAGCGTTTGGAGCATCTAAAATAAGCCGACCATGTCTATCGAATTTATTTTCGTATACCCTCTTCCGACAACAGGAGCCGCTGATAAGGAAACGATTTGCAGCGAACGAATTACAAGCTACGAGAAAAGGCGGTCGAAGATTTGACTAAGTTGAAAAATTCTTCTATTTGTATTTCAACATTGGCTTTCATCACTTAATATGTAGGTTAGCATCGCATTGACACGCCTCAGGCTGAATCATTGTAGCGTTGTGTAGCTTATCGTCCACGCCATAGAGAACGATGGTTTCATGCGCGCCAGGCGTTTTTTCTGCAACAAACGATATAACAAGAGTCGTCGATAACGGACACTGTCCACAGATGCCGGGTTTATGGTCATACTTTTCTCATCCATAAAAATTATCCGTAAAGCGTTTTATTGGGTCCGTGAACAAGTAGACGAATTTTAGTAGACCTTCCGTTTAACGTCGGTAGTATTTAGAATCCGCTAAAACAGGTTCTTTCCGATGCCCACGTGGAACTTCGAACGTGCACTGAGTCCATCTGGCTTATACGTTGCGTTGATGAGGCGTTTGTGTTTCACGAAAGGGGCTACCGGTCGGCTAAGGAGCAGTATTGCCGGCAGTCTCTAATGAATGTTTGCCGTATTCTTCTATGCTTCGTGCTACAGCTTTTAACGAAACGCTGCTCTTCAAATGGACTTGTGGCTACGTAGCTAAATAGATGCTAGTAAAACAGTTTACTCCAACCGAATATGACCCTAATACTTAGCTCTATTTTCCTTAAATTACATTCATGGACCGTAGCGTTAACTATTGTTAGCGGTCAGCTGCTAAAAAATTATTACGTCGTTTTTAGGAATCCGCATGTTTATATGCGTTGTTTTTCAATTGTTTTCATGTATGTATCTTCACTAAAATTTAATAGTAAATTATTCAGGATGCGACAGAACCTAAGTTCACTACTGGAAGCTCGAATAGGCTTTGTTATTCGGTACGTTTTGAGCAGTAATGATATCTGGCCCTGCAAACGCGCCAGCTACCACAGTTGGGCCCAGCACTTCCAATTGCTAATATCTGCATTATTCGATTTGCGATGATCAGTTATTTTTTTCGGACATGGCGGGTAAGGGGATGGACTATGAAGCCTGTGTAAAGTTCCCGAAGTTTAACTGGTTACCTTAAATTGGCAGCAACTTTACGGTGTTTACATTACGGCAAGTATCACAAAAGACAATTCACTTTTGACTCGTGGGAGCTTTGTTTATTCGCTTCAAACAAGTCTTCAACAATTGCGTGACGAAGGAAGCACTTTTTTCGGAAAGAGCAGATTTAGCAGTACATTGTCCATGGAGCAGAAAAGCTTTCCCTGGCTTTCCCTTTCTTCTGCACTTGAAGAATTTCGCTGTATTGACCGGTTCTATCGGTATTTTGTTGACTGCTTTGCTGATCAGAATATTCTGAGTTAGAAGCCTTATCGTACTGATTATATAGGACCGCAACACGGAGAAGGAACAAGAGTCTAATCTGCACTTCAAGTGACCCCACGCTGGGGAGCGAGTATCCAGAAGACAATTCTTTTAGTTTTCCTTTGGCAACGTTTAGATCACACATAGAACTATCTTCGGGAGTAGTGCGAGGCTAGACAATTTTCGGAAGCCAATGAGCAATTAGCAAACCGCTCTAATATGGGCCAGAGGAATTTCTTCCCCAAGAAACTCTTTTTGCTGTTTATTCGTTACTTACAAGGACAATTTTTCCTCATAAATATTACTAGCAGCGCTATCGCGATCGATATTGTCCTCAGGTTCTACGGTTTGGGAAGTGATAAATTTACTTATAATGTGCCTTATAATGTAATAATTACATATGCCAACTCACGCGCTTTTCCTTTGAATGACTGCTTAGTAAATAAGGTTTATAGAATCGTCAACGAACAGATAAATTCCAAATAGATGTTCACTAATAGTGTACTATGAGGGGACAAATAATTTTTATGTATCAGTGATGAGGAGGAGTTCGTACAACATAAATAATTTTGCGCCCAGTAACAAAACGACAATGACTCATTATTTTCAAATTCTCGTTGTATCAACTATATGTATATATATATATATATATCCCATAGTCAATACGCATAACTATGAAAACCATATTTTCCATTTCTTATATATTACAAAATCGTCTTCCTTTCAGATTCGCATTTATTAAATGACCCTCGTATTCGAGGTGTCTATAGCCAGAAACTGGACCACTCCCCCGTGTAAACCTTGAAGCAATTTTCTTCATATTGTATTATGTATGTAAATAAATGGGGAGCTTGTAGAATACTTTGTGAAGTGCGGCTGAAAAATGTTTGACATCACGAGGTCATCTGATTGTTTATGCGAAAAGCTTTCACAAATGATCCCAGCAATAGCGTCGAGACGGGCTTCACTTTTGTGGGACTTTTGGACCTTGCAACAGAATCATTGTGAATTACTTTATACATAAAGTTAATCTATACATAGATTAACTTTGTCATGCATCATATACAAGTTAGGTATCATATAAAACATTGTTGACATGCCGCATTTAGGCAAACATAAATAAGGTAAAAAAATATGGCTGTTAATAGAGGCTCCATCGCAATGAAAATGTTAATATTTTTGTGGCCTATAAGGAACTACCGATGTTCATAAATAATTTATATATATATATATATATATATATATATATATATATATATATATATATATATATATATAAAGTAAATAGAATACAAAACCGATAAACGTTAACTATCGCATTTATCTGCTCGAAATGCTGTGACCAACAAACAAATCAGTATATCATTAGCCGTGCATACTTGAGTGAAAACACCTCCATCAAGACTTCACAACGAAGAACGAACTTCAAGTCGCATATTAGTCGCACTATAGATGCGACGTGCCGTATTCACACTGTGTCACTAGTTTTTTTTCTAGATGTGTCATTACCCTACAACCAGTAAATCATTTCGCTCATGTTTCAACACACTACGCCATCTTGGAAATAGTCTATTTTATTTAGAGATACGCCTT